CGAGAATTCCCTCAGGAATCTGTTCACTAGTGAGCACATATTAATTACTAGTATAGGGGTTGTGGAAATTACTAGGTCTTTGCTTGAGATCATAAGCCAATTGACGTTATCTTTTTGTTTCTGAGTATCATCGCATCTCGTTCCTTTTTGAAAAGGACTTCTTTTAAACGATCAGACAGTGCAAAAAAAGCAGTTGCCAACGTCCGGGTTGTCGTTTTACCGTTGAAAGCGGCGTGCAGTGCGACGAGTGCAAAAGCTGGTAGCACGAAGTTCGCACGAACTTAACGCCTGCGGCTTTCAGACGGTTCAGTAAGAAGGGTTGCGTATGGCTTTGTCAACAGTGCTGTTCGGATGCAAACAGCCTGTTAACCGAGGCCATCCCACTGGTTGATACTGCAAAGAAGTGTTTTAGCAAGCGTAGTCGGAACACGTCAAACAGCATTCGATCTGTCGACACGCAAATCGACATGAAGCAAACTAAGGTTAGTCCGATAACAGATGACTCACGCCGGTCAAAGAAGGAGAGGCAGTCTTCAAGGAGGCCTGCCTTAAACAAAAGCTCAAGGAAAGTAGGTTCTTCTGTTCCCCGTCTCCCAGATGGGATCCAACGCGGAACGCCTAGAAGCCGCAATCGCAAGGGTCGATCGGTTTCAAGCAGTAAACATAACCTGACCTCTCTGGTCGTCGACAACCCCCCAAAATCCAACACTAGGTTTGACGCAACTGTTGTTGCTTCTCCCAGCACCGTTGATGAATGGGTACAGGTTGTAGGGAAGAAAAAATAGCGATATAAAAGGTAATTCTACCCCCGCGAATGTAGTCGTAAAATCGAAAGCTGATCATAGCGACAGGTCAGCTATTTTTCATAGAATCAAGGAGAGCGAGAGCTCTGAACCTAAAGCTCGTTTTGAGCATGACATAGTTCTGTTTAAGCAGCTGCTTAATCAACTCATGCCTCAAAATATCACCGGGGTCACCTTGCTGTAGGTGTACAGACTAGGGAGTCTAGCGGATTTGAAACCAAATTATTCCAGACTGCTTAAAGTAGTATCCAACTCTTCGAACGAACGTGACCTAATTTTACAGAATGGACACAAATTAAAGGGTTCAGGAGTCTTTATACGAAAAGACTTACAGTTGGCAGACCATGTAGAAGGACGGGAAGCCGAAAAATAACTACAACTTAGGCTAGACGCTGGCTAAAAGGACTTAAAAATTGTAAACTTTCGGGTTGTAAGGCTTCGACAGAGAATGATGCCGAAGCCACTCTGGGTGAAGCACGAAGGCACCTAAACAGGCTTCGGATCTGTTACACCAATGCACGAAGCTTACTTAATAAGCGATCGGAACTACGTGTACAGATTGACTCTACAAAGCCAGACATAATCGCAGTTACAAAAACCTAGCTGACACAGGCTATAGATAGTATGGAACTTGATTTCGAGGGTTTTACGTTAGTAAGAGCCGACAGAATACAAAAGCGTAAAGGAGGGGGAGTAGCTCCATTCATTAGGAATGCTATCCCATTTGCCATTATCCACAGTGTATCCCATGAGAGTGGGACGTGTGAATTAGTTAGTCTCCGCTTGAAATGCAAGGGACAAGAGCTACTGATTGGTTTGGTCTATCGCAGTCCAAACTGTGAGGTAAATGAAGTCCTGCTGAGCAGTCCCAATACTTGGTCACAAAGTGGTCGATGTCTAATCCTAGGGGGCTTTAATGCACCTATGGTAGACTGGGAGAATCTGCGAACTGATTCGTCAGAAAATTCCTTCGAGCAGGAACTAGTTGATGCGGTTATCACATGTGCTCTAGTGCAACATGTGAAAGAAGCGAATAGGTACGACCCGGACACTGAATCATCCTTACTAGATCTGATACTCACTCACTATGTGGATGACGTTGTTAACCTTCATTATATGCCACCCCTAGGTAAAAGTGATCACGCAGTTTTAATTTTCGACTTCCATACAACTGTCAGTCACGAGCACGCGTCAGCCCAATCTAGACCTAACGTCTGGAAAGCAAATATACCAGGTATCATGCACTTAGCATCGTTAGTAGTGTAAGATCCATTTTGAATGCTTTGTGTGTTTGTGAAAATCCCTCCATGTATATACTTGCACTTTGTTCCTACTGATTCTCTTAGTTGTACATTGTTAACTTTTTGACTACATTTGAATTGTTAATATTTGTATTTTATGATAGTTTTCGTTTTTACTACACCTTCACTAATTCCCCATGTTTCTTCCCGAACTGCACTTATGTTGTTTTACTTTACACTAATTCTGGGCGGCAGCCATTTTGGTTTGTTCCTGCTTTTGATTGCTTGACCTGTGTTGACTGGAATTGTGCATTTTGGTTGTGAATTGAAGCACTCTTCCAGAATTGAAAACACTCTGTGTTATAGAGCGACCAATTATTACCTTTTGAACGAATCTGTACGTGATCTATCCAGACAGGATAGAATAACATTTATTTGTGGTGATTGGTAATTTTCTTGCATCCTTTATCAACTTTCTTATTTATTTTAGTTTAGATTTGATCAATTGAACAATTATTGTTCGGATAGCTGAGTGGTTATATTTGTTTAAGTAATAATGCACACTTAAATTTATGATAAATTATAGGACCGTCATCTTACCCAATTACTTTGTTTTGGTTTCAAACGGGCGAGGGCGCGTATCTAACTCATCCAGACAGCTGTCCGGCAGTCCAAATCATAGTTTGGATCTTATAAGTAGATTGGACAATAGACCCAGAGTCCTCAGTTGAAACGGCCTGGGACGCATTTCGAAATTCATACTTAAAAGTTACCACACCCCACATCCCTTGGACTATACCAAGGGGGCCGAGAAACTCCCCACCATGGTTCAGTAGGGAGGTTCACATCCTTATCCGTAAGAGAAGAAAAATGTGGGATAGATTTAGGTTACTGGGAACTGATGAAACTAAATCCCAGTATAGAAAAGTCCGGAATACATGTGCCTCGACCCTCCGTAAGTCTAGAAAGTTGTACGAAGAAAATATTGTTAAGGAATCCATAGAATGTCCTAACTGCTTGTATTCATATATAAACCAAAGGACAAAGAGAAGAGGAAATATTCCTGTTCTATGGGGAGACAGTACTGCCGCGTCGCTAGTGGAGGACGACTTTGGTAGGGCTCAAGTGTTTTCAAACTACTTCAGCAATGTATACACCATAGAAGCACCCTTCCCATCAGCGCGTACAGATCCCCCACACATACACTGGATGGCGTGACCATTAAAGAACTCGATGTCTTTGGTCTACTAAATAAGCTTGACATAGGTAAATCCACGGGGCCCGATAAATTACATCCTAGGCTACTGAAGGAATTATCTAACTTCGTTGCGGACCCTTTAAGTATATGCTTTAACCTATCCGTAACGCAGGGTCGTTTACCCAAAGACTGGAAAAACGTCATAGTAAGTCCTGTCCTCAGAATAGGTACGAAACACAAACCTGAGAATTACCGCCCCGTTAGCCTAACTAGAGTGGTTGTTAAAATCTTAGAAAAGATTATTCGGAAGGATCTGTTTAAGTATCTCCATAAAAACCGGATCCTTTCGGAGAAGCAGCAAGGTTTCAGAATAGGTTACTAACTAATAGGTCACTAACTTATTAGTGGCTCGTGAAAGCTGGTGCGCTCTTAAGGACCAAAAGTTACCTGTAGACATAGTCTTCACTGATTTCAACAATGCTTTTGACAAGGTTCCGCACAACCGGCTGTTATATAAGTTAAGAAATGTCGGGATTGGAGGTAATTTATTGATGTGGATAAAAGACTTCTTAGTTGAGCGTCAACAAAGTGTTCGGGTGAACTCAGAGTTATCTAGCTGGGGAACTGTGCTTGGTGGAGTGCCCCAGGGTACAGTTTTGGGGCCAGTGCTATTCCTCTTGTATGTAAATGACCTTCCTTGTCTCTTATCATCATCGGTCTTGCTATATGCTGACGATGTCAAGATATGGAGAACGATACGATGTAAGAGTGATAGCTTAGAACTTCAAAATGACCTGAAGAAATTATCTGAATGGTCTCAAACATGGCAGTTGCCGATAAATACTTCCAAGTGTGTTGTGATGCATATCGGTCATCAAGGCACAGATACATACACGATGAATAACACTGAGCTACCTGTCGTCCAGACATATAATGACTTAGGAGTTATCGTTAGTCAAGACTTAAAGACTACTGCACACTGCCGTGCAATAGCCGCCAAAGGTTTTAGAACCTTATGGTCAATACGTAGAGCTTTTAGTCATGTCGACGCTAAAACGTTTTTGACTTTGTATACAGTGTTCGTTCGTCCTAAACTTGAGTACTGCATACAAGCGGCCAGCCCCTGCTTAAAAAAAGACAGTGAGCTTCTGGAAAAGGTTCAGAGAACGGCAACTAAGCTAATTCCCGGAATAGCGAAGCTTCCGTATGAAGCTCGACTGGCCAAGCTGAACCTTTTCCCGTTGTCATATCGCAGAACTAGAGGCGACTTGATTACAGTCTACAAATTGCTTAGTGATAAATTTGCACCTGATATGCCCTTATTTTTCTTGTCTTCCAAAACAGAGAATTTACGAGGACACTCCAAAACAGTTCATAAGCCGTGAACAAATTACTTGTCAGCTGACTATCGACTTTCCCATCGAATCATCAACGAATGGAACTCATTACCTCAGCACGTGGTTGAGGCTCCATCCGTCGATTCTTTCAAAAGAAAGTTGGATGAACTGAGGGACCACCCTTGCCAGGACTAACACAGGCCATCAGGCCTCCTGTCCTTCCCAAACTGAAACTGATGTGTAACATGACTTGCTCTAAAAAATAAAATAAAAAATAAAGTGGAATATTTTAGGACCAAGGGTCACTTTTTAATGTATAAAATAATGCAATTTGATTATTTCGATTTGTACTGCTTTGAATTATTTGAATGTACACTAACCTTGAGTGTTACTATAGACGACTTCTTAAATATGTAAGCAGATGGGGAAAAAATCTGCAAAAGACAAATCTCCAAAAGTTGGGGATCTCCATATTATTTCAGATCCAAGTAAACAATAGTAAACTGTCTTGTTTGTCTCATAGAGGATTATGTTGTGACTGGTATTTTGGAAAATGATTTTCCCGGATTATGTAGACAAATCGGTGTCACTCATTGTCCAATTGTGTCCACAAAACACTCCCAAGCCATAGTTACACAGACAGTGTGTTCAGGATTTTAGTGATTTGAATATCTTTCCATCTAGGTGTCTTCTTTACCATCGTCGAAACGCTCAAAAGAAGACAAGAAAAGTCCTCAGTCTCAACATTCATCAGTTACTAAATATTCTGACGGTTAGTTTCATATTTCAACTCCAGCTTTTTAATACAGTGTTTATCTATTTTTGTCGATTGAAAATTGCGTTGTAAGTTCTAATGTAACTACACTCATCGGTTCGCATTTATACATTTACCGAGTAATTGTTACATATTTCTATATTCAAAATGTTTTTTGACACAAAAATTTTCCGAAGCTAGCGGTGAAGCGACAAATTCCTCACGAGTGACGGGAAATTCAGTATCATTTAGACTGTGATTTTAGTCGCAGATTCTACTCAGAGAATTTCAGATACTCAGTATTCGTAAATGTATTGAGGTATTGCAAGTTGGTCATTTGTCATTTTTTTAACGTTTGCTGAACGACACATCATAGTGTTCTTAAACGGAGAGTTCCTGAAACTGAAAATAAGTTATGGAGTCCTACAAATGGCAACAAATTTGTTTTAAGCATATTTTTCTTAGTCTTTCGATAGGATCCGTTTTACGAAAAATGTCGAAAGTGAAAGTACATAAGATATCGCATTATTTTTACGACCTAACTAAGAGTTTACATTTAAACAGCTTTGGAACATTTTATTTGACAAGAAGAATAAAGTTGCTTCAACTCTTTTTTATCCGATATCAAATTAGACTTTAAAAACTGTTTCTTTCTTGCCTTTTAGCAAGCATTTTTCATAGAAACATCCCATTTTGTAGAAGTGACTAGTACTCTAGATACAGTCCATAGACTTTGGACAGACTTATACCACATGCAGTTCTGTCAGTGCCATGAATGATTCTCATTGTTCTTTAAAATAGTTTTCAGACACTGCTAGATAATGTGCTCTGGGTTTTATGTATTGAATAATAGTAATCATCAGACTGCTGTGAACATTCAACAATTTAATGCTAATAACCAAACTTTCTCAACCCCGACTGTCACCGTATAAATTACCAATGTTATTTGACGAAATGTTCGAAATGGAGGTTGTTGTTAAAATACAGATTGCTGCTTGTGACTCAGTGATATAGTCGTACTATGTACTTAGAAAAATATGCACGTCTTTGGTTCGATCTTTCATGAGATCATGAATACAGCCAGTTACTCATAGTTAACATGAAGCCTGAAGTAAACATGCATTAGTCTAGGTTGCCTTAACATACCAAATGAACGAGATGAAATTAGCGTAAGAAAACGTGAAGGAGCCAATATGACAGTAGTATAAAGGACAGTAAAGATGAATAATCACTGACGGATATATTTTCCAAGAAGTTGTTGATTCGAGGAATTAAAGATGATGAATTGTAATGAAGCTGAAGGCTCGTTGGAAAATGAAGAGTTAACTTTACTGAGGCATTGTGACAGATTCTGAGTCACGTCACCCAACTTCAACTAGTGATCACTAATTATCTCAAGAACCCCAATCAAGTGCGTTCCATCGACTAATATGGATTATTCAAGTGTCAACTACTTCATAGATAAATTTTATATCTTAGTTTTGCCACTAATAGTTTATTTCCAAACTACTGTTAATGAAACAATCATTAAAGGTTGGGATAAGTGGTGGGCAGGCAAAGGAACACATATCCCAGCTTCCTCAGTAAAATGAGATTCACAGCTCCACCAGCCAATTTCCGGTATTTCCGCAATACTCTACTCACAACCCTTGTATTGTTCATTAAAATTTTTTTATTTGCAAGAACTGGTTCCAGGATCGTCTAAACGCGCACTAAGAGAGTCCTAATATAGAATGAATGGGTTATCCGATGCCTTCCAGTTTCTGGCGAAAATGCTTACGAAGTTCCAAGATATGATCATCGATTTTTCAGATTTCTCACCATAATGACTGACTTGTTGGTAGAATTTTTGTATTTACTGCCAAAATTTAAACTTTTACGGAAAACTCAATCCTTATCAAAATATAAACTCGTGAAAATTCGAAATAGTCTACCGCGTAAGAGTGTATTTATCTGTCATGTTTACAAGTAGGATTAAAAATGTGTAACATACTATCAGGTGTTATTTTCGGAACAGAAGTAAAGCCCAATAGCTCATTTGTTTTCTTTCCTGTCACAATTTAGAAATACAACCACCGTTAGGATTTAATCCTACAACATTCAAATTATGTAAAACATTGGAATATTTGAAACCGAAAATAATTGTTCAGCAGGAAAATCCTGATAAACCGGAAACAGTTAATGAAGTTTCTATAAAAGGTATGCTTTGACAGCGTAAAGATTTTATGGAGCGAAAATGAAAAAAATAGGTTGGAAAATAAGTAATAATCAATTGGATGTATTAATCAAATGTTTTTCTGCTGCAAACAAGCTTTCCAAACTTGTGTGAGTACAGTTATTTGTGATTATAATTGCTTAATTTAGTAACTTGATATTTAATTACTAATATGATATTTTTGCAGATAATCTTAAACCGAGACACAGTGTTCTACATAAATTGATACGGCACCAATATATACCCTACCATTTCAGTAAAATATCATGAAATTCATTCTTATATTGAGTTGGCCAGTCGTACACAACGTAAAACCTGGTACATATGCGAGTCAGTTTAAGTTACTGCATCACAATAATACAAGGAGATGTAGTTATAGAGTAAAATCCCAAGGTAACAGAAGCGGTAACAGTATCAGTAGTATCTGTAGTAAAAGAGACTAGACATAAATGATATGATTTGCGAGGAACAAATTTGTGGAATGAATTTAATTTTGAAACTCGGAGTTTAAACGAAGACTGAGAGTTAATGTTAATGCTCCATTACAACCGATTCTGAACCGTGTCATTCAACGTCTTCAATCACTAATTACGGTAATCAGGTGAACCTCAACCAAGTAGTCTGAACTTACTTATATGGCTAAGTTTGACCGTCATTGGCATCATGGATTGATTCCAAGCTATAGTTTGACCGCCTCTTGTACTTTTCTAATATACCCTTGTCGGACCAGCAATATAGACTGAGGCAGCTTCACTGAATCAATAGAAAGGTATCTCGTTGCCTATCCGTCAACAAATCACTTTAAAAACGGCTCTATAGATCAACAGTGGCGTTAAGCTATCATTCTATAAGATACAATTCAGGCAATAAAAGAAAAAAGCTTGATCGATGGAAATTACTTCATTGCATTTCATTCTCGAGAACGGGATCTTTATCATTGGTCGGAGTTTATTTTAACTTACTAGAAATAAAAAATATAGTGATATCACTAGCTACTTTAACAACTCAAAACTAATCTCTTATAGAGTCTATCAGCCATTCTAAATGCCTAAGTCATAATATTTCAGCTAACGTTTATTTGTATCAGAAGGGGTTTTGTGGAGATTGTAGTAATTTCAACAGTTGAGATCATGAGTTAATTGAAGCTAGACCACCTTGGAAAGCCTGGAAGCACTGGACGACCGTTTCGTCCCAGTATGAGACTCTTCAACAGTGCTCATCCACGACCCCTCCTCGCGGTATTCGAACCCAGAACCTATCAGTCTCGTGCATTTATTTGGTAATTTTTACACCTTATTGCAGAGCCTCAAGGCTTACTAGTTTCTGCAACACAACATAACATACAAATGTGAGTATTGATGTACATAATGCTGAACAGTAACCTGCTACATCTGAGGGACTGAACACTCCTAAAACACATAACAAGAAAAAGAAGCATTAATCTAGAGGATCGCTGCTCATAATTATCAATTATGGTCCAAAAGGCAAACACAAATATTCTTGATAGACATACTGTGGAGATGTGTGAGATAAAAACATAAACTTTAGAGTAAGACTACCCAAGAGTGTAATAGATATATCATTGCATGTATCAAATAAATCAGACAGGATGCGTTTTTAATAGTTATAAATAAAAAATATGACTGATTTTACAAAGTTTTCACGTTAATTCACTATAATTTATTTTAGATGATTTCAGAAAAACCTCAATAAAACCAAGTTGCCAGAAGCCTTTTTAGATATAGGGAGTCTTCTCATCTAGTAGGGGGACTTAGCACACAAAGACTAAAATTAATTTGGGTCGGAACTAATCTCTGTGAAATATAGCAGAAACTAAATTTTTATGCTTGTCTACATGTTTAGCGAGAATGAAATGTCATATTCCTGGTTTATCAGTAAACTTCATGATGAATGTTAACTAGGGCTCATGTTCTTATATATTCCATCACATGGTTATCAGTCTTCGAATCGTGGTTGCCTTAACGTATTTAATGATTGATCTATCTTTTTATTTGTTCCAGTTCTATTGAGTTGGATTTACATTTAAGTTGAAAAGGCGGTGTAGAGAATACTGTCACATGTATGATATTCACATAATCATGAAGTAAAATTCTATGATAGATCTGAAGTTTAAAACTGATCAAAAAATTATTTTTATGATCTGACAGTTTATTTCACTTAAATTATGATTTCTGAATTTAAACAAGCTAATCAACTACTATCGTAAATCACCTGGCTAATCAAATATTATACTGGAGTTATTATTATAAACATTCTTAATGATAATTATGGTCTAAAGATCCTATTCTAAATTGAAAAAGAGCAGGAGTCACAATTCACACAAAATTCTTTCTAGTTACTGACTAATTTTCGAAAAATATCAACTAAAAATGACTACAGTTTATTGAAAAAATTGCCATGACAAATCACTGTTAAAAAAGTTTGAGATTCAGTTTGAACTACTCACAAGTAACTTAAAATGATCCACACAAGTTATTTAATCCCATTGCATGACAACCGTTTAACCTGTCTTGATTAATTTAATATTCTTCATCTGAATATAAATATTACCGTATGTTAGAGTAAAGTCTAATGAGGATCTAGCTGAAATAATTCTCTCCGTTAATGTGTTACTCTGATTTGCTTGTTCTAACATTTAATTATATTCATAGTTACGACAACCAATTCAATAGGTGCATCGTAGTAATTCAGTAATGTTTTCATACTCTCATTACCTTTTTCATACAAAAAAGATTTTGGAGGGTCGGATTCACAACTGAACAAATAACTCAATTAACTTCATTCTTATCTACAAATAATACTATAAAGTGAGTTGAATTTTTTCGTAGTTAACCTCAAAGCAAGGCTAATATCACAGCTATTAAAAAATAAAAGCTAAATAAACTGATTTTTAAACTTGTATAAAATAAAGAGTGGTGCTATGCATAAAATATCTAACAGCTAGAGATATTTGGGTTTTCAGAGAGAAATATGACATTGAACTATATGAATAATTATGAATATAAATATAATTATATATTTTACAACTCAAGTGGTTATATAGGCAAACTGTAGACTGAATAGTATCAAAAACATTAGACTTCAATAGGACATTGCTGATACAAAGTAGAATAATAGATTTATATTCATTTGGTATTGTTTGCTCGTAACTTCCCATCCTATGCGGACTGCCACGATATAGCGTCAAGTCACAAGCATTCTAAGCAAATATGGATGGTGGCTAACTGTGGAATCCGGGACCCGCGTTTTGTCACATTCGGGACTCGTCAGCTGAATGTACCTACATCTCAGAGTTGATGTCCACTCCGGGACTCAAACCCAGAACCGTCCGCTTTAAATGCCATCGTGTTATTCACTTAGTTACTGAATCCTTCACCCGATTGCACAAGCAGGTGCCTATCAGGACTCAGTAGCTAAGTGGATAACACGATGGCGTTTGGAGTGAATGGTACTGGTTTCGAGTGCCAGAGTGAACATTAACTCTGGGATGCAGGTACATCCATCTGGCGATTCCAAAAGAGAACGAAATGCACGTCCTGGATTCTACCGCTAGCCACCATCCATCTTTGTTTCATATATATTTATAGTTAATTAATCATAATTTATGGAAGATAAAAAATATTGCAAAAGTCAATGAATACAAAGATAGATTACAACTAGGACGGTATAAAAAAACCTCATAAAGCAATCGAATAATCAATAATTATATTACTAAAATATTGATTGATTTATAAGATAATATCTACTAGCATTTTATACGTCACTTTCTCCCATCTACTCTATCTAACATATACTATATTGAACATTGAATGAAAAGTAATAAACTATTGTTTGTTTGTAAGAAAATCTCATCTTGGAATAGTATATATGTTAATAAATTTCATATGATATTAATACACATATATTTCATAAAAAGGGTAAACGCATTAAGGTGTTCTTTATCATTTGTCCTTTTAAATCATTTTTTTCATGATTACTTCTTTATTTGTTGTACTTATCTTCAGGTCATTAACAATAGATGCTAATGAAGCATTAGAAATTGGTTCATATGCTCAATTAATTGATGAATCCAATAAGTTCGTAGTAATATATATATATATATACATATATATATATATATATATATATATATATATATATATATATATATGATTTCTACTTATTTTATTTATATATAGATTCCGCTTCTTTTAGTCCATTCATGAATAAAGAAATTTAAAAAATGTCAAAGAAATGAGTTTATATTAATCTTATCCAAACTAATCTAAAGATATACATAAATAATATATTTGTGATATCCCATTGTAATATCCCACTCATTGGGATATTACAAATCTATTATTTTTATTTATAACAATTTACCCAATGCTCAATTTATTCGAAATTATCAAATCAAACCTTGGTAATGATAACTATAATCTATAGATAGTTGAGAATTCCATAATGAAGGATATAAACTGGAAATCAGTTGATTGAATGAAAAAAGGAATTGTAGGCGAATTCACCTAGAAAAATTTCTAGGTAATTGTTAAGTCTAATACTAACAATGATACTTCATCCATGTCCTAGTTAATTAATTACCCAATTATTTGATACTTAAACTATTGACTATTTCGTAAGTCAACAAGAATAGAATTGCTCGAAAGAGTGATAACTATAAAAAGAAATTCATTTTTCAGAGCTGCAATAAAACCAACAAGATTCATTAGTAAACTTTAAAAAAGCTGTATATGAATACTTATAGTCGAAGAGTTAATAGTTTAACATCTATGTTCGTTTATATCTTAAGTTTTACTATTAAAAATATGCTCATCTAATTCTCCTGGATTCTTGTGAATTTTATTTATGTGTTCTGATTGAGGCTGATTGTATTTTTGGATCGTAGCTAGTATTGGCATCTTGGACCTCAGTTTTATACTTTTCAAGACTCATCAGCTAGATATAATTGCATCTTATTGCTAGTGTCCACAGTAAGCACAGAAAGCACCAACCCAATCGCACTTAATGGAGAAACTGTGGGCGAGTTGAAAACTTTCAGATATCCGGGGAGCATTATCGGCAAACAAGGAGGATCTGATAAAGATGTAAATGAGAGGATTGGCAAAGAGAGGGAAGTACTCCTACAGTTGAACAACATATGGAACTCAAAACGACTGTCAACCAACACCAAAGTCAGGATCTTCAATACGAAAGTCAGGATAGTTCTACTGTACGGAGCGAAATGACGCGCGGTGGAGAAGGCATATGAGCTAACTCTGTTTAACCAAGCATTAATCGATATTTATAGTTACATAAAAATAACTTACAGAGATGTAATGAATAAGATAGGAAATGCACTTGCATACGCCTACATAAAAACAGTCAAGGTCAATGAGCGAATAGTTATCATAGTCAAAATGTATCTCAAAAAGAATGGATAAATTGGCCTGTCCAGGAGTTAGAATAAGTTATATGGGCTTAAATAGTATCTCACATTACATTCTCAATCTTGAATCTTTCATAATATCATTTTGAATCTTACCATTCGTTCTGTAGACTTAATCTTACCGTTTTATTTCCGTATCGTAACTTAGACAAACTCATATTTGTACCAGATTCTGGATTTATTATGACCGAGTAAATTTGTTTTCAACTACACCATTACCAAGCTGGCACTAAGCCTTCTACATCTTATTACAACCCCTCGAAATTAAAAATGGAAAATATAAATCAATATATGATGTTATGAATAGGTAACAGTTAGATGCTTCTAATTTCCTTGTCATCTAGATAAATACTAACTATTTGGAGTTAAAATAAATTTTACTAGAACACCGAAATGATAGTCCAGAGTAACCATTTCAATTTAATTGCTTTAGTACAGAATCATAATAACAATCTATTCATGTTTAAGTTGATTTGCTTTAATTTTACACTATAATATCGTTAACTTATCAATTTTAGAGAGTTTTAAACAAGTTAATTTCTTCTCTTCACTTCCAAATAAGTTTGATTATTTAATATTGTTCAATCTTATTTTTAAATTAGTTTAACAAAATTACGATTAAGATATTGTGAAATTGGACCAATGGAAGCAAAATTGATTAGTCAACGATTAGGAACAACACAATCTGTCAATAAAAAATTAATAAGTCTTGATCTATCGGGCAATCGGTTAGGAGATGAAGGAATCATTTATTTGGCTCAGGTAACTTATATTATACAGAAAATATGGATTATTTAATATTTGATTATGTAATGTTTGTTTTACTTTAAAAGTTATTTTGTCTTTATTGTAGTTCTTGTTTGTAATAATCAACATTTATGATGATCAACTTTTCGAAAGTACGAATTAGTATTGAGTAAACAATACAAAAAAAAACTAAAACCGGAGAAATACACGTGACTGATCAAAACACGGAATGACCTTGGATCAATATAAAAAATTTGAATGTACCAATCAAAATGTATCAACTAATTGTAAATTGAACATTAAACTCAAAAATCTTTTGGCTGAAAAATAAGTCAGTTACATTTGTTATAAGTTTGTGATCAGTATAGTGAACAAGTGTGGTCATTTTTTTTATGTCAAACTTGTAATAGGATAATGTTAAACTTTGACATTTTTACCATCAAAATAAATCCATTTTAAATGTTTGTTTAATAGCTAACATTGGCTATAGTATTCCATTATTATACAGAAGTGGTTTTTTGGAGAGTTCCATTGTATTATCTTCGTAGGGGGTATCAGAGTAATATTTTTTTCTGAAGAACACTAAAGTTTATGTTTCCCAAGGTATATATATGCAAAGAAGTGAAGTACAACAAGCAGAATGATTGATTGTAACTGAAAAAGGAAAAAAAGGAAATGGTTTGTTAGTCAAAATATGTTTCGTAAAAAATAGTTTATAATATTGTATCACTTGTTAGATCGGTTGATAAGCGTACAAAAAAATCTTTAAGACATCATGTTCCTATAACATTTGCTTACCTATTAAAAGGTGAATAAACCGTTCCGCTTCTCACTATGTTAGTTTATGATTAGAAGATGTGATTATTTCGAATGAAAGTGACGTTTTTACAGAAATTTAAATAAAGAATATTTTTAGACATCTTTTTTGCGTGGAAACACTTTTGAGAGATCGATATTAGAGTGAAGCGTTAACCAATCAATCAGGCTGGACACATGGGACCCATGAAAGTCCGTAGCATGGATTTTTGATAGATTTTAATAAACATTAGAATAAATTAAGCTCTAAGTGATGCGGATAAACATTAAACGCGTTTACCAAAGTTAATGATTGATAATCTAAGACATTTTATTATTCCCTTACTAATGCTAAGTGTTTCTGTTTTTCCAAGTGTTAAGGATTCATGTAGCAGATTTTCAAAAATATTCTGTTTTCACATACTTATTACTTGTTAGACACAATAAAAAAATATTTTAATTTGCTAAAGATTAGTTTCTAACATCCTAATCAATGTATTTTTACATTCTATTTATCTTGCTCATTCAGAAAAATGAATGTAATCTTGGTTAATATACTATTTAATTTGACTTTTAATACTATTATTACTATGGTAAACTAAGTATTCAAATCTAACTTGGTATCCACTAACTAATCATCAAATATCAGTAAAATCGAAATATAAATAATTATATTCTAATTGCACAAGCAGATGGCTATCAGGACTCAGTAACTAAGTGGATAACGCGATAGCGTTTGAAGCGAATGGCATTGGGTCCGAGTACCAGAGTGAACATTAACTCTGAGATGCAGGTACATCCAGCCGATGAGTCCCAAATAGGACGAAACGCACGTCCTGGATTCCACAGCTTAAAAAGCTTGTGACTTAACGCTATGTCGAGGCATCCGCACAGGATGCACATATACCACATATGCCAACATAATACTGATCAACTGCAGTCCTAAATAACAATGGGAAGATACAAGTAAAACAACACCAAGTGAATTTAAAGGATTGTAGTGTTTTATAAAAGATGAATATAATTCACATCTGGTATTACTTTACAACTTCTTCCTTATATCATCCAAATCTCAGTTATCCCTTATTCGAAGTCCAGTTTACTACAACAATAACACAAATACTCATTTTGGCTTAACTTTTGTTTATTAAACTCATTTAGATAACTTACCCGAATTTCCCTAATTCTTATCTAATAATCTGATTAACTCCACTAGTTAGAAGAAAAAAGCAAAATCCGTAAACTATATCTAATAAAAACTGTTATCCCAACTATTATCCACTTTTAAATCCTTTTTTTAGATTGTGACCTTCATTTCAAGTCCTTATATATACTTTTGTTGTGAACCATACATCACTTGATCCTTATCAATATAAGGACAAAAATAAAATGTCATCGAAAATCAATACTTCAGTTAGAGTTAATTCTAAAAAACCTAGTTATGAAATAGTTGAGTAAAAATTTCATTTTCTTGTCATTTATAGGAGATCATTTTAGATGGTTATTATTTCAACAGATATTAGTGATAGTGTAGTGAACAGAACACGAGTGGGGACAATCGAATGTATTAAACACAAAACTACAGGACTTGTTAATAAAATCTAACAATCATAAAGTAAATGCTTAATTTGCAAACTGTCCACCAATTGTCTCAAAACGACTAGGACTTCATTGTTCTTGCATTTTCATACAAATTGCATTCTCTTTCGATTCTTTACTGTTCGATCCTCTTGGCTCTCTGCTGCCAGACCTTCTGTCCACCACTATCATATACTACTTATGTCAATATAAGTAGCACACACCACAATAGTTCTGTTAATTCTGTTAATTCTTAGTCTAGAGATGGTTGTATTAATTCAGAGAGTATTCTCATTTAGGTATTAGTTTAATGTTTAGACATTTTATTAGTTTGACTTACTCAACACTATAGTAAACAATGAAGCAAATGATAATACGTATTTTTTTTAAAATATCAGATTCCATTATTCAATTATTATTACTATAAATTTATACATAAACAGTATGAGTTTTGAGGTTGTTGAGACTAGTATGTTTCAATGAAATCATGAACCGACATAAGTTAGACAACCACTAAGAAACCGTCATCACTAAACGTCCTAGTATGAGACCCCTCAGTAGTTCATACACACGACATCGTAACCGGAGATCCAGCCCCGTACCTTCGGTCATAGATGCGAACACTTAATCTCTAGATCACTGAACTTGTGTTCATTGATGTGAAAGTCTAACTTCAGTCAGTCCACGACATTGTGAGACCGTCTTTCATTGTCTTTGATGACTATCTCCCTCATACCCAACACCGTTAACTCCACTGACCACGGCCTTCTCACTAGAAATCTGGAATTTCTTCACGAAACTAGTAACTAGCGAGAACATAAAATTGTCGTTATTATGACTAATATTTCTACGGTAATCGGCCGTGTAGTAATAAATACTGTTATTCCAACTGATGCGTGATACTGAATGAGTTTTATCAATAAAGTTGGAACGAAGCAACTAGAAAATGTAACTCAGTAATGTAGATGAATTTGTTTTTTGATAAATGAGCCAGCCAGTCAGCGGGAAGCTCTGGAAATTGATATCGTTCTAATTGTCCTATATCACCAAAGGATATTTACAAAATAGACAGAATTAATACTCCGTATCAAATTAGAACCCGTCTCACTTAGAGTTATACATTTACTGTGTCGGTCTAATTAATTTATTAACTAAAAGCTGATGATTTAATAACTTATTAGTATTATTAAATGTAATATGTTTTGAAACCACAATTATTGGATACATTATTCTGATTAATTTTTAAATAATTCAGAATGACTTAAAACATACTTTCTAATATTGTTACCAAAAGGGAATTACTTATATTCTGATTCATATTTCTTGAATTCACTATTCATATGAACTATGTTAAAATGAAGAAACAAGAGACTATTTCGTTTAATTCTGAATTTATTGTCTTAAGAGTGTTTGTATTATAGAGAATAATGTACTGAGCATTAATTGTATCTAATCACACAGCTATTCAGATTTATTTGCAACTCTGTCAATTGTTCCACTCTAGATACATTAGCCTGGCAACAAATCTAGGGATGCTGTTGGTTCATTTATATCTGTTTATGCTGTAATAAGTTTTAAGATGAACCAATTAATGAGTATGGAAACCGATATACATAGCAAGGCCTTGCATGTTTGTAAAATTTACATACACAAGTACTTAACACTTGAAGATCAAAAGGTATAAGCGTGTTGAAATTATGGGGAGAACAAGAAGAATATCCATAATTTTCTTCTCCAAATTAACTATGCATTTTTTTCTTTTAGTTAGATATATTGATTGTATCTAGTTTGTTTTTAAAAAAAACTATTAAAATGACTGCAATTCCGCTTGGTTTAAATCTCCCAATCTTTCACCATCTTCAAAATTAACATATCTGTCTAATTTCCTTTCTATTAGATTTCAGCTATGCAAAATATACAATATGTATTTTTATTAAATCCTAACTAATTTGATATTTTTTTATTTATCGAGTGAACAACGGATTTTCCGTATTGATTAGTACTAGTTCTAACAACAATAGTAGTTAAGTAAACAAGTTAGAAATTCATCTTTAGTCAGCTTTAAGGTTAAGAAGAACAAGTGCCTAAGGTTTCATCATGAAAATAAGACGAAATATGTTTTTAGTACTCTTTATCTTCCTTGGTTTTTTCCATTAAATAACTATTGTAATTTGGTTTCTTATTCTTGAATGTAAACTAAAAATCGACTGTTTGTCATAGTATGATTTACGTACTGTCATAAATCTATATTACAATTCTATTTACACTAACCACCATATTCTACAAGCGATTTTCTTTTTTTAAATTGTTTGTTTATTTTTGTAATAAAGGCACTAAGAACAAACCGTACTCTACTTACATTATCAGTTAGCAACAATAAAATTACAGACGTTGGTTGTATAGCACTAGCAAAAGTAAGTGTTCCACTTTGTTTTCAATTATTTTTCTTATATCATGTAATTTTCATGAAAATATTTATTAACAACTAAATTCATAAATTAAGAATTTTCATTGACAATAATGCATCTGAGTAAAAATTAAGAACTAAACTGTTAGTTGCTGTATAGCACTTCACAATTTCCTGAATGCAATTGCGTATTGGGACTATGAGTACTCTATGTTAAGGATTCCTAAACTAAGGTGAAACAGACATTCATTGTCTATACGCATTCAGTGGTTCTTTATTTAATGTTGGCTGGTAATTAAAATAACCCTTTAAAATGATGAAAGGGAAGTTTGGATTAGAAATAAGATCTGAGTTGGTTGTAAAATTGGTCTTATTCTATTTTAATGTCAGTATTGATAGTTGTTCAAGTAAGTTTACATTTAAAATAAATGTTGGTAATATATGGTTTCTAAAAGTAAAGAATTAATCGAACAGGAAGATGATTGACTTAAAAGAATTGTCTATTATTCAGTCGTTAATATTCAAATGAATTACATAAAACAGTTATTGTATCCACATCTTCCCAATGAATCTCGCAAATACATTTTCAATAAACCAAAGCTATTCAGTAAAGTAATTCTTCATTCCAGTCATATCATTTACTGAGACTTTACAGTAATAATTACACTAACGTGTATGGCCTACTAGACAACAAATTGAGATTGTTTCATAAATTATCTAGAAATATCGAATATCAAATGGAAGTTGTGTATTGATCTAAAGGTTGGTGACAAACGATAAAATGATGACAATTTATAAATGAGAGAAAATTATTACAATGATCAATGTAAAAGATATAATAATTAAATGTTAATTTATTAGCAAGTTAATCACTATGAGGAGAATTAGGAAGAAGTAACAACAACTGATCAATAATTAAAGAAAATGGCAATAAGTCAGGATCATAGTATAATAGAATTTCTTCGAACTTATTCCTATGCTTCGTATATCTATCGTTCTGATAACCGTTACAAGTTAACTCTCAATGGTGTATAAATTTCAGAAGACAATACGAAGCTTTGACTATAGTGTATTATTGTATTGTATAGACTGAAAAACCGCGAGCGCTCGAAGCGAATACGAACGAATGCGGGTGAGTGAACTATTGAGATTTGAGATTCACATACATATTAAGCAAGTGAATGAGTCGTCGAGCAATTTGAGGAACTGACATTAAAACTATCATGATAAAATCTGTGTTTAGGCTGTAACATGTGATCAAGTATGCATACTCGTACAAACAAGATAGTAATAACACAAAGATATTAATAAATTGTTACTAGCCTAATGACACTATCTGTTAAAAAAGTTATCTGAAGGGCGTGTGAAAATTAAACTGAACAAACTCAAGTGTAGGTGAGGTGCTACAATAGTGAAATGAGAAACTGAACATGTTAGTCATAACCATAGAGAATAGGCTCGTATAGGTAATTTATCAAAACCTCGGAGTCGATAAAGCTTTTGATCTGTACAAAGTCTGTCTCATTTTAACTGGGACAAATCACAAATATGAAGAGGATTTTAGTTCTCATTTGTTTATATTTCACTCGACAGCGTGCTCAATTACTTTCTAATGTAAGTAAAATGATTCTTTCTGATGCATAATTCATCACATGGGTTTAGCACGCAACAGAACTTCTGTCATTTTATTAGCAGAATATAGGTTACTACTTAAATAATGAGAAGTTAAACTAAGTATTCGCCTGTCTTATTGATTAGTCTGATGAATTTTTAGGCCGAAAATATTAAGTGTTTAAAACGAAAGTTCGTACAATTATGCTTTACTTTGTTATGCCATACCTAACTTCAGTCCTTAAAATAAATGCACAACAATCAAACACTGATAATGTGGTGTATGCTACTTGTGTCTGTCGACATAACTAGTATATGATATCAATCAGAAGTGGAGTGCCTGACAACAGAAGGTTGAGAATATCGAATCAAAAAGAATGGGAGTGTAAACAGAGAGTATTTGCAATAACAACAGGAACGAAGGAATGATGAAGTTAAAAACAATTGAAGGAAGATTTGCAAATGAAGTATTTAGTGTGTGATTTTCCACATTTTATGAAAGAACTCTGTAATTTTGACAATGATTCTCTGTCTTCTGAAACTTATTAGGTTGGCATTTAAAGAGCAGTTATGTTGGAAAACATCCGTTTGTCTACCTCTTCAAATTTAGTAGTTTTGTTCAATAAATTGTTTCATTACTATAGATGTAGTCGGAATAACTTTCAAAATTAGCTTGATTGTACATAGTCGTTCTAAAAATAAGCGTAAATAATGATGTAATACTTGAAGATCACAATGGTGAAGTAATCGACTGTTCTATTCAAATCTAAGGTAATATTTAATGACATTATCAGTGGTAACTTATTTATTTAGAAAATATTAAATGCCTAAACAAAGATAGCAATGTAATCTCATACACTAGCTAATGACGATTCACCCCATCTTTACACTATAAACATACTATAACCACCTTCATTCACCCAAGAATGAAAGGTAATGTGTACATCATAAAACTAAGTTTATTTTGACTTTTGATCAGTCATCTATTATTTTACACAAATTAGATTGTCTGAATTTCTGCGTTTTTAATGAACACCACTGGAAATCTACATTTTTAAATATGAAGTTAGTCAAGTCTATGATGACCTATTCTATGGGAGATTAATTTGAGGACCAAACGTCTACTTTGAGTCATTGAATAGTGTTTAAATTTAATAATATTTAGAATGAAAGGCTTGTGGATATTGTTCATTTTGGAGTTACTTTATATTAGTCATTGACTAGCTAGACAATCAATAAAGACTAAAGGAATTCGGACACCTAACTATCTTAGTATGGAACTTTACAACAGTAGACACCCACGATTCCGTCAGAGACTGAAATTAGGGCCCTTAAACCACACATACAGATATGTAATTCTATATAACTTTCATTATTATCAATTAATACTAATATAACTGCTTAACCCAAATTGCTTTGTTCATAAATCCGTGAGTAAAGTTGATATAATAATAGGGGGAAATAATATGCTCATGTAGAAATATACTATCTACTCCTCAGAATGATATTAGCAATATGGTGTGTGCTGCTTAAACGGACACATATAAGTAGTATGTATCAACAATTGAAAGAAGGATTCTTACTGACAGAAGAGGAACATAAGGGAGAAGAAGTAGAAGCTGTTCAAGTAGCATCAGGAATGAAAGAACGATGGAGCATGTGAGAGACAATTCAAGGAAGATGTGCAAATGATTTATTCAATGTATTGTTTTCATATTTTAAAAAAAATGTAGTGTGTGATGTTACTTAGTACAATAAATTGGTCTGCTCCTAACCACGTCTTCATTCATCACAGTAGTAGGATCACTGAACCCTGGCTACTCATGAAAATCAAATTATTGACTCAATCCTTGCAGATGGAAGGATATATCTGAAGATAGAATAATTGATTTACAAAGAATAATCATATTTCTGATAAAATGACATTTGTATGCAATTTAGTAAACACAAACCATAATCCTGATTAGTCATTAAAAAAATATAAATAAGTGTAGAATATAAGATTATGTGAATCACTGATTAATCAATGAAATTATAATCTGACTTGATTGATATGCACATAATTAGTTTCCATGTATTCATTCGTATCAGTCATTTCAAAAATTACTTTTAAAACTTTTTTCTTAATTATTAGGTTATATCTCAATTTTTCTTAACCCATGAAGAAATTGTCTACAGACGATTATGTCATTCAGAGAAAAGCAAATCTGAATCCATTCCATCAATTTCTGTAAGTCTAGGTTCTGTTATATTTATAAAGTAAAAGTATATTCAAAATTAATTAAACTCACAGCGCGGATGTGATTTTGTGGGTATCCGCCGTCCCCCAGGTCCTTGCGTATATATTTGTATCGTAAGAAGATCAAGTTAAGGATTGTTGAGAGTTTTACTTACTTTGGATAGGTATAGTCTGTACGCTTACTGGGTAACACAAGGACTCTCATCCGAGTACTCCTTGGTATACATACAGGTATACCTACCATGTGAGCAAATGTATATTATTTGGACACCAATAACACACAGATTTTATCCCATGCATCTCATAGCAGATATATAGGTATATTAACCCACTTGGGAGGGTAGATGTTCACCACTTTCATTGGAAATGTATTTGTTACACAGAATTTCTCTTACACACTACATGCATATCATTCAGCTCATGGCTACCACCCCAGTACTTCCTAACACACACATAAACATAAGCATTCTCTCAAGAGGGAGGTTTTTGATAGCCTCTCCCATCATATTTTTTTATAATTTTTTCGACCTGATAGATTAGGCCGCTGATTTTATTGAAAATAGGGTAGATAACATTTTGGCTAACGTTTCCTTTGCACGACACCACACGCATACACTTTGCATACATTTACATACTTAAACTACATTAGCCCGATGATATCTGCAATTCTTATACATTAGATATACATCAGGTTGCCCGGTGCGGTTGAGTGAACTTCGAGTATGGACCCGAGTTGACTAAAGATACAATAGAGTTGGTGATCAGTTCGATCTTCGTCGATCACCTACGCTGGCTAGTAATTATAATAATAATAATTATTATTATTATTATCATAATTATAATCATCAGCTTTATTCAATATTATATTTTTGGTACAATATAGAATTCTCAGCGTAAAGTATTTCAACAAGCTTCCGTTTCTTTCTTCTTGGTCGGTCCTGGCGATAAATATCGAGTGATCACCAGTTAGATGTTAGCAGTTCAGTAAATGAACATCTGAATAATGTGCATTCTTTTTGCTGTATATTGCCAGCAACCACATTGTCTCTTATTGAGTTTTTTTTGTAACTTTGACAACGAAAGGTTGTACACTTTTCAGAGACGTAGCAGAACAGGTTATGCGATTCATAAACATAATGATATATTAAAACAAACACAAATAGATAACTTGTTGAAATATCTAGATGGCAGGAACAGGTAGCCCAGTAAGGTTGCTCCTACCATTCAATGGCACCGTGAGGAAGTCTTAGGTCAGATTTTGCTGCCAATATGATATTATATTAATGTATATTTGTTAAATGCTGCTAACGAGACCAGTCACAGAACTTTTGAATTCTCTTAATGGATTTTATGTAACCCGATAATTTATTTATTCAAACTATACTATCTTTATTCACTGTGAAGTTATGTTGCAGACCATTCTTTAGTATTTTCATAGAAAAATATTTAAACTTGAAATACTGTTAGTTAGGGTGCTTGAATTTTAGGTCATGAGTCGTAAGTTCGAATCAAGCTCCATCTGTTTCAGTTTGAGTAACCGGTTAGTATCGTTAGCCTTCATGCTTGGAGTACTACACAAAGCCAAGTACGAAAATTCATATCTGGTGAATGAGTCGGTAAATGTAGTTCATCACTACTCGCTTGTGAATGGTTTTCATCTTAGTTATGAAGCATGAATAAATTAGTGTAGTTCTATGATAAAAACCAAACTGAAAAAATAACGTCTATCATTTCATTTCTTTCTTCTAAATGTCTAAATGGAAGTATTTCGTATTTTTTGGAAATCATTTTTTTGTAATTTCTTATGGTCAATGTTTAGAAAGAACAATTAGACAGTGAGCCATAAGATTACATAGAGGTTTACTTAATTATTTCTTAAGGTAATTTCAAGAAACAAAACTGACGAGCTTCTTTTGTTCCGTGAAATCTAAGTAATAATGCTTCACTTGTGATCAATACATTACATTATCAATACTAATCAAATCATAGTTAAAAGTCACTTTTAAAAGGTTTGAATCCGCTAAACATAAATTAAGAAACTTTTTTATACAAGTTGATAAATTTTCATCAGGAAAGTCTTCCCATTTTAGTCCAGTAATTATATAAATGCGTTTCTGGAAGCAGATCATGAGATTCTACAGTTTGAAAGTCATTGATAATATGTTTGTTCTTACTTATTTAGCAAAAAGAATATTCTTTTCAATAAATTCTCACCAGATTCTAGCAATTATGTATTCCAGTTTAATAATTTAAAGGTAGAATCAAGTTTTCTGCCTATGTATATATATATATAATTGTAAGTGAAATTAGTTTGTTAGACTTAGTAATTGTTGAAATGCCTATTAAAAAAGTATTTAGATTGAGTCTATTTATAAATATAATAAAGTTATGAGAATAATAATCGAAGCGAGTAAAGGTGGCACTGATTAAGGCATGATTAAATTCATATTTAGAAATTAGATAGACTAGATTAGATCTTGGTTTATCTGTGCTAAACAATTCACCATATTGACTGAAAATTGGTGAAAACGATGAGATAGAAGTCCTTCATATGATATAGTCAGTTCGTTTGAACAGGAATCGAAGATCTTGAATGTTATATGTAAAAGATTCTAAGTTTCATTTCTTTTTCTATGTTTACCAGTCTCAGAGTCTAGTAAGTTAATATTCATTCTAATTATAAAGTGGTTTAACATATCAAACATATATCTAAACGTCATATTATTTCTGTGACTCAAATTTATCTAGTTTGATAACATTGTCTTAATGTATTTCAATGATCTATTTATGACTCACCTTGTTTTTAATACATTATTATTTGAATTAGATCATTTCATACATTAAATTTATTTACCTTGAGGTTAAATAACGACTAAAAGTTTTCAAACTTACGATCCTCCAAGAGTCACTTGATAGATGAAGTGACAACAAAAATTAAGCAGCCTTTAGTGATTCCCTGAACTCTAAACTTATGGAACTGATTGAGCTGTTTATACATACATTGCATCAACTCTGATGAACAGTTAAGCTAATGTGTACTGCTCTATGGTTGTGAAGCTTGAATATTAATGCTTATTTAGGGGAAATAACATCAAGTATTTATTTAAAATCTCTGTTTTCAGAGTGTAGATTTTCATTTGTTGATTTAGTAAAGATATTTGCTACCAATGTGTAATAATCGACTATTTTGAGGTGTAATTTGCAATGAAATATGATTTAGATAGGGTAGTCATCTGGTCTATGAAAATAAAACATCCAATTGTTTTTAATAGTTAGGTGAGTTAATTATGTTTATTTTAAAATCATTTGAATATAGAAGCGATATATATGCAGACATATTTTTGATAATGTTTATTTCACCAAGTTTTAACAATACGTAGCAAAACACCAGTAACTAAGGCTCTTATCGATAGTTTCATTTGACTTAAGCCTCATTATACATGCATTACTATTATGCCAAATAAGTATGATCATGTGAACTATGATTCGAGAATGGAACAATTGAGTCTATCAATACTGTAATTTACCTTTCCAGTGAAGGTTATTTCATGAATCTCAGTAATTCAAATAACAACTAATCCACAAGATGTATCATCAATGAAAGATTCTAAGATAATTTTCTCATTTTTGATAAAGTTGGATTTTATGATCAACGAGAAAAACGTTATCATCTTGAGACACATATCTTCTTTATCATTTCAATGGTGTTTTAAGTCGATTACTTCTAAATGATTGATTATTGATTCGTATAAAGTGTTATCAGGTTTATTTTTCAAATTAAATAAAGAATATGATCTTCCTTAGCTAAAACATTTAGATTGTTTTTAAAAACTATTTACTATCTATAAATTAAATAATGCGTTGAATCAGCTGCGATCATTATTATCATTATTATTATTATTATTATTATTATTATTATTATTATTATTATTATTATTATTATTATTCAATCAGTCTTATAGAGTACAACATATGATAAATGAGGTATGTATATAAAAGCACTTTTCCTAAGGGAAACAATGTACTTGCATTTGTCTGTATTTTTTTACTACGTACACTAATTAGAAGAAAAAAATTCACAAACACTATGCGAAATAGACTCAAGAGATTAACCCATGTATTGTACGCTCAGAAACGATAGTACATAATACTAGTTGTTTACTCAATGCTTAACAACAATTCTAACCATGTATAATATATTTGTATATGCAAACAAATATACATTTGTGTGAATAATTAAAAGAAGAAATAATGTCATACTGTATATGAAAAAAAAGAAAAGTCCGGAAAAACTGAGTATCCTTTTTATTCTTGTCAATAAATATTAAACGAATTAAATTTAACGGGAAGAAATCAATGCAAACTGTACAGACAAACACTGGTTTTTGCCGCACAAGCAGTTATTTTTTTCCCAAAGTAAACGATTTTTCTTATTAAAAATGAACAGTTCTGCTGTATTCTGATCAAAATGGAAAGGAAGTTCGTTAGGAATGAAACAAATAGTTTCATAGATGAAACAAGTTAGAGAAGGAGAAAGAGGAATGACAAACAGGAAGTCATGAAATTGATTAAAGTTTGTAGCAAAAGAAAATGAATGAATGGCTTATTAATTTAATTTTGTATTTTGTTATGAATTTAAATGTTGTTAAATTCATTAAACATTGAGATGTTTTGTTTTAATGATAAAATATGTAAAGTATATAAATCATAGGTTAAAATAACTCTTATGTTTAAACTTGTTATAACTGTGACTGTGGATTAGAGCGCAGTGTATTATCGATCGGACCAAAGACGGGCAAACACGTAAGAACGGCCTAGAGTCCTGATTGGTCCCGCTTCCCTGTCTAGCTCGGCCAGTTGAGTTCAGAATGCAAGCCTCAGTCTCTGAGATATGAATCATTATATTTCAAGCATACTGAGTTTATATACCAATCAAACCGACCACAACGTACCGATAAAATATGAAACAACATTTGTACAAGAATTAGCCA